AAGAGCGGGAACAACTCTAACTGTGGTTCTACTTAGTGCGCCTCTGAGCATTTATTGGAATGTGGTCAATCGTTAGACAACTTAAACAATGATCAAAAAAGACGTGTTTCTAACTTAGCCTCCTCATGCTTTTCTGTCTTTCCCTGTGATTCAGGAGGAAGGACGCTGGCTTCTTATCCTACAAAGATCACCTGCCAGTAAGCCAGGTGGTGGTTGGAGATACTGACCGGCAAGGCTCGGAAGCCAAACTGAGTGTGGGTCCCCTGCGCTGCCAAGGAGACAGTAAGTGTGCCCGTAACTGGGGCTGGCACCTCCTTACCAATTTTAAATAGTGTTTCCCAGCAAACGCGAGGTTGGCAGAAAACAGATTGCTGTTCGGTATAAACAGAGCCAAATGGAGGGCTAGGCAGACCTTAATACACAGAGGAGGGCAGCAAGCTGTAAGTCTCCAGTACAGGAGGCTAGATATGGGCGTAAAATGTGGCTATCCATCTTTCTTGTATATTCCTATGTAACAAATGTGACTACCTAAATTTATGGTGATATAAGTAGCAATGCTAATAGCATAAAAGCCACACTCACCAGCTGTGATTCCACTGAGTGCTGCTCTTAATGCCATTAGCATAACTATTTATATCACCGTAATCATATAAATAGTAGCATTAGGGCTTAATGTATCATTGTAAACTTGGATCATGGTTACATAAAGTTTGACATTAGTGCTATCAAATTTCACCATCATCAGAGCTTGATGGTCCTTTGTAAGCCAAAGAGTGTTTCTGTAACTGCATCTTGCTTTCAAGATTCGGCACCACAGAGAGGAATTTGGGGCTGTTGGCAGTCAGGGAGTTAGCCTCATGATCCCACCTAATTAAGGGTACCGTTAGGATTTTATGTTGTCTGATACCCTTCCGTGTGCTTTATGCGTAGTCGGAGGGAACTGGTGACCGGCTGCTATGGGGATTCTGCAGTGAGCATCCTGGGCGTCATTTCCCCTCTTCTCCTCTGCACACATGATTTGGGCAGCTCTTCCAGGAGTATATGCTTTTGTGATTGTGTGCTAGGCATCAGGAGACTAGATTCTGTTCCCTGAGTAGCTGACTTGTCAGAAGACCTCAGGCAAACCCCTCCTTTTTCTCCGCTGTGGTGCTCAGAATACCACCTGCATCCCAACTCCTCCTGGGGAGGCCATAAAGATTTTAGTGCCTAGATCTGGATTCCTCCTAGCAAAGCATTCTGTCAGATGGAATGTTATTACCACTTCCATAAATCAAGGGAGAATTAGATCTACTCAATGTAATAAATTACTGCATCCACTCAAAGAGGTGTCCTAAGAAATGTAATGATGCATGCTCAGCTGTTTACTACTTAGTACATCGAGGCTGTCAGCAGTTAAACCACGCAGTGTTCCTGATACAAAAGAGAGATGGAATTTGTACTGATTTTTCCCTTCTTACACAGAGAAAATGAAAATGCTATCCTTAAAATGAAACTGATCAAAAGAGCTTTGTCATGCATTTATTAAACAATAAAACTTCATTTGACTAGCTTAGTAGAACTGTGCAATAAGAAATTTTGTTTCGACTGCTTAAGAAAAGATACTGACATAAAATAATAATATATATGCCTTTTTAAACACATATTTTGAGAGATGGACTATAGTGTCACTCTCAAAATAGGCAGGTTCTCATGAGTTATCTAATGAAAATCAGTTTCATTGTCATAATTACTCATTAATATATAAAGGTAAAGTAGTTCTCACTTATCAATTCTAATTCTAAAGTTAGCCTTAAATTAGAGAAAGGGTTCCCATTAAGTAATGGATTAAGTCAATATAGTTATACAATCCCACTTCTGCATATTTTTTTTACCACTCTTAAAGAGTCCAGGTACTTTAAATAGTATATGTGGGAGTGTATTAACAGTCTATAGTTAATATTAGCATGTTTTCTCTTAATAAATCAGTCCTCAGGAAGAATTTATTATGTGTCTGCTATTTGTCTAGCACTTTACTAGGTACTCTGGTGAGTTAAAAAAAGAATTTCAGGGCTTCCCTGGTGGCGCAGTGCTTGAGAGTCCGCCTGCCGATGCAGGGGACGCGGGTTCGTGCCCCGTTTCGGGAGGATCCCACATGCCACGGAGCAGCTGGGCCCGTGAGCCATGGCCGCTGGGCCTGCGCGTCCGGAGCCTGTGCTCCGCAAATGGGAGAGGCCACAACAGTGAGAGGCCCGCATAACGCAAGGAAAAAAAAAAAAAAAAAAAGAATTTCAAACCATGTTTTGAGAAATGCACATTAAAAAGTATTGGAAAACATAAAATGTTTTATAATTTAATAGACTTGTGATCTAAAATTATTGCAACTGGTGCTCAAGAAAGGAGTGATAGATAGTATGTTTCAGGCAGACTTTATATTTAAATAGAGAAAATAGGAGAACTATGGTGGTCAATGTTCATTTGCATTTCTTTCCCAAGGCTGTTGCTCTCAGAGACATTCTTAGGACCAGCTGATAGACAAAGAGCTGTCCTGTTCATTGACACCGCATGGCCTCAGGGTTCTTGTACTGCAGCTTCATCAAGACTGAATCTATATTTTACCTGATACCTCATGAAAATAAAAGCACAGTCAATTTTTAATTGCAATTATGTGGAATACTTTTGTGTCCAAGAGAAAGAGAGAGAGAGAGATCCTCGTTTTTTGTAGGCAACCGGCAATATTATATACCTCATACCTGAATTGCCAGGTAGCAGTTAGCAGTTTTGATGCTCACGTTCCTTTTAAGAATGTTCTAACGTGGACACAGTAATGATAAAGTGTCTACATCATAGCATTTTCCAGATTTTACACATGTATGGTGTCCTTGGATACAGCCCCCTGCGAGGTAGGTAAGGTAAATATTAGCCTTTCTGTTTTACAAATGAACAAAATATTTCTTTCAAAGTGTCATGTACGCAACAAATTTCTGTGCCCCCTTTTGCTGCTTCTGGGAGGCTCCCAGAGGAAAGACAGAGCAGACAACATAACCAGCTTTCTCTGCATGAGATCAGGCTTGTTTCCCCGACTCCATTCTCATCCCTGAGTCAACGGCAGAAATTAAATTGTTTTAAAAGTATTTCATCTGGGTCTCTCCCCACCCACGTCCAGTTACCAACACAGCATGAATGTTGGGGGGATTAGATTCCAATTTGTATAAGTTAAAAAGTGGTATCATGCATATATCCTGTTGTTTGCAGAGATTAACCTTGTGTCATTTACTGAAGTCTGTGCAAAGGTACAGTTTAAAAAAACCAAATCCACTGTTGAGAAATGTCTTTCTCTATTTGAGGAGTTGAATGATGACAGCCCTCGCAAGCTGTCTCTTGAATTAGGTCTGGTTCTACCTCCCAGTCTTAGAGAATGAAACAATTTTTGTGGGCTCTGACCAACCGTTTAGGCAGTTTCAGTTGATTTCATCATGCCTGCTGAGTTTCATTTTTACTTTGATTCATCTGAACTCAGACCCATATAATCAAAATGCTAAGAAAATCATTGAGTTCCAGACCTGCTGCATTGCCCATATAGCACTGTAAAATGCTTATGCCCTTATACTTTTTGGGTTTTTTTTCCAAACACGTTCAAATGGAAGCCTCAAATCTAAAACTGCAAGTGTGACTGAGGGTGGATGGTTAGCTAAGATAAAAAGTGAGGTAAAATTACAAATTACCCCCTTAAACCATGCGTACTCCCCTAGGAAGAAACAAGAGAGCTATTTAGAGGACCAAAACGGCTGACAGAGTAGAAATTGTTTTCAAATTTAAAAATATAATTGTTCTTGGATGGAGTTGCTAAACTTCTATGGAATTAGTTCAAAAACAAACTATTTCGGGTTTTGGAGGTAGGAATCCTTTTTGTACTATATATAGTGACTATAATTAATTGTAGAAAGTATTTGCTAGATAATTGTTTTATTCTCAACCATATAAGGTAAAGATTTCCCATATCTCCTCTAGGGATACAGAGACTTTAAACAATTAATTAGGAGCAAGTTTGCTACAAAGGCAAGTGTTTTTAATACACTTGGGTAGAAACAATCAGGAAAACATGTTACTCAAGGACCACTGAGTCCGTGCCTGAAACCCGCCCTGGCTGTCGGCACAGCCGGACTGGAGTCATGGTGGGCGTTTAAGATGTAAATTCAAGTTCTTAGAGCTACAGAGGTGACTGAGAGGCCAAGAAGAAAAGGCAAGGCAGACCACATCCGGCTCAGGAACACTCAGAGGACGGAGACAAAGCTGAGAGTGAAAGAAACACAGACGATGACGGCGTTTCATCCAAACGACATTGGCCTTTTTTCCTTTGGGAATGCCATCATATGTGCCCGAGATATATAAAGGCCAGCCTATCTTTACTGCAAGACTTTTACAGACCAGGGCCATCCCCAGCCATTCCCTTACCAAGGAAGGCAAGGCAATGACTATATCTACATGTTGTTTCTCCCAGGATAAGACAGTTTCATTGGGGGCTCAAATGAGTATCATTCCCCATAGGATGGACCCAGGGGCACACACAGGCCACACCATCTCCCGGTGTGAGACACACTCAGTGCCGCCTAAGAGGACTAGACAAGGAGAGAGGGGCAGCTGCTCATCTGGGCTCAGGAAGCAGTTTTGATTGTGCAGAGGAAGCCGCTCCCCGGGCTCCAGAGAAGAGTAGACAGTTTGCTTATCCCCCTTTTCTTTGCTGCTCCAGGCTTGGAAGAGCCGAGAAAGGGAAAGGGCCCAGCATGCAGGCTGTAAGCCATGCACTTTATATTCGTCTTCTCTTTTCATTCTCCCAACATCCTGTATGCGGTGATAGCTTTGTATTTTGTACCAATGAGAAAACAGAATCAGACTTATTAGATGGTTTGCCAGTGAGTTTCAGAGCTGGGGCCAGAAGAGCCGTGTGGTTCCAGAGCAGATGCTCCACGTTCTTTTCGTTTCCCCATTTCTTCCAATGAAATGTAGATGTATGTACTTGCGTCAAGTATAGCTAAAAGCAAGAACAAAGAATCACAACATTCTAGCGGTGGAAGACTTAGATATCAGACAGTACAAACCTCTCATTTTACAGACGAGGGAACTTGGGTATGGGGAGGTTAAGTGAGCGACCCAGGGGCTCCCAGCTGGTTTATGGCAGAGCACAGGGAGAGAGAGTTTGACACGAGCCTTCATCTTTAGTAATTCCCTGTGGCCAAGATGAATGTTGAGATCCGAAGAGGGAGCTTTGACCTGGAACTCTGACCCTGGGTCCCTGCCCATCAACA